CCCCGCCCCCCCCAAAAAAAAACGAAAATAAAGAGGACCAAAAAGTAATAATAATTAATTGAATAATTGCCTCCTCTGATAAACCTCATCTGTGTATCGCTTGCGTCTATTAAGACATGAGTTCATTGGTTGCTAGGTCTGCACCACCAAAATTGGTGCTGTCTTATTTTCTTTTTTCAATAGTATGAAACATAAGTACTTACTAAAATGTCTAATTAGTACCAGCCTTGATAACGTCCTCCACAGCTACGTTGCAAAAGAAACATCTCTGACAATTCAAAAGATGCCTGGAAATACAACCATAGCACGATCGATGAGAGCAGGGTTTAAAACATGCATTAGCTTCACTTGCATAACAGATGCAGCATATGCTATCATTAGCATCTGTTTGATCACTGAATGTGGAGTTATCAAGAGCTAAAGACTCCATCCGATAAAGAAGAAGACTTAAAAAGTTCTCCAGCCGTTCAAGTTTTACAATATAACCATCACCTCTAAAGGAACCAGCCTGTAAAAATCACCGATAAGAGTTAGTTTATATAGTAGAAAAAAAACTTTCATTCAATCAGATGTCTGCACAAAACACAAAGACACACAAGCACAGAAGGATTAAATAAACATATATATATAGGGGGAGAGAGAGAGAGAGAGAGAGGGAGAGGGCTAACCCAGTTGTAATCCAACAGAAGACGAAATCCACAGTTCACTGTATTTAGACATTCCATGCTAGCGAAAATACCAACAACGTCATTATATTCTTTGTACTCCAGCTCTGCACTAGCATCCCACAGATTCAAGATGATGCCAACAAGAGGAGCCAATATCATGCCTCTGTTTATTTTCTCTAAAGATTGTCCATTACGCCTAAGTGACCTGCAAATAATATTGAAAATTTATATGCATGCCCCTAATGATTTCAAATGTAGCTATGCAATCATTTAAATATTCCTCAATTGTCAACAATGTACAAAAAAAAAAAAAAAAAAAAAAAAAAAAAAAAAAAAAAAAAAACTAAANCTCCAACTAATCCAAAACTTACAAGTCGAAGAATTCCGCATCTGCTGCTGACGTTACATGGTTCAGTACAAAAAGTACTAACTCAGTCAACCTTCTGAGGTTTGTATCAGATCCCAACAGGAATGCTTGAGGGATTTCCCGTGTAAAGAATTCCAAAACCCTTGCAAGATTGCATGAAAGATCAAATATGACATTGCATTTTCTTTGTTGAGAATCTAGTACCTGCAAGAGAGTTAATATGACAATTACAATGATGATAATAAGCAATATGATGCCCTAACTAATTAATAATTAAAAAAAAAAAAAAAAAAAAATTATCTACTTGAATGACATAGTTTTCTTCAGCAGCTACGTGATTAAATAATGAAAAAAGGTATATAGCACACTTCGGGCTAATTTCAGGACCTCTTTCTCACGTGAATCAGTTTTTCATTCCAAGCAATTAATACATGGGATGTGAACTATTCTTAATGCAAATACGTTAATTGGCAGAAAAATTGAATAGGATTGTTACAATGTTGAAGAGAAGATATTTATACCTGGTATTTTTCTTGCATTTCTCGAATTGAAACTGAGAATTCAGTCATAGTCCAGCTAAGAGTATTGAATAAACGATTAAGAAAAGGTGAGAACACGCCTTCATCCGTGACACATGCCTCTCGTAGTAGTGTCTTCATAGAGCAAGAGGGCAGAATGAAGAATCAAACTGACGGTGAGAGAAACTGCAAAAAGTAGGACTTGTAGTAAAGAGGAAAAGAAAGATAATTTTACCTGAAATATTATAGATGATGACGATGATTCTCCATGTTTTGAAGAACCAAAGCCAGAACCTTTGAATAGTCGCAGCAGAATGTTTGTCACAGGAATCCAGGATCTGTTATCAAATGCTAATAGCAATGACTTTGGCAACTTCTGCGTAGCTGCCTCATTACTCTCAAACGTGACCAAATATTCTTTGTACTGAACAAGAACTGATATGGACTGAAGAAGCAGGTCTTTTAGATCTGCACTTGATATCCTCGGGTCATTGAAGTGAGTAACTACAAATGTCACCTGGTCAATAGGAAACCACACAGATTTATTATGGACTGTTGATTGGTTATATCAGAAAGAATATATAAGATATCCTTGGGTGGTTGTGTAGGAAACTGCACTTTTATTGGAAAAAGTTGAAGGCATATACAAGGGTACAAAACCCCAACAAAAAAGGGAGTCTGACCCTAACTACACAAGACTCCAATTCAAAAGAACAAGACCAAGGTCATACAAAAAGATCTAACGGGTGATGCAGACGTTAAACCTAGTCAACTCCCAAACTTCCTCACCTCATCCGATCTCTTCCTCTCTCTAAAAATTATATTGCTACTTTCCAACTAAAATCCCAATAAAACTACAAAGAAGCCAGTCTGCCACAAAATTTTACCATTCTCCCCGAAGGGAGGCCTCAAAAGACGAGATGAAGTATACATCCAGAAAGAAAATTATGAAATATTTCATAAAAAGTAAACTACAAAGGTAGTTCATGTGAAACACGTGAAAATCCAATTGCACCAGAATTGCACAAATAATAACAGCGCAAGGTGATTTGACACCAGTGGTAAATATAATGGGCTCGAAAGTTTCATCAAATTCGATCAGTTGTATAATGACAAATCGATATATCCTTGATTTGACCATCTATTGCAAACTTAAGATTGGTGAGAAAGAAATTGACATATCTAAGCAGAGCGAGTGAAGAAAGGGAGAGATCAAATAATGGACAAAGAAAATGGTAGAAAATCAGTGACCGGCAGACATGACACTTTTCATGTAATCTGGGGGAGGAAGGTAAAAAACGAAATGTGTCGAAAGAATAATGTGATGATATGAGACATAATATCCATTTTGTTGCTAAATAAGATAAATACTTTTCATGTAATCTTCATTTTCAATTTTGAAATCCATTTAAACAGTAAAGATGTAACATTTTGTTTTACAAGTTGCACTTAAAGAAAATTACCCAGTAGGGATTTAAGAAAATGGGAAAAATAATACATACGAATGAAGCAAGCCCTTGCTTGAGAAATATAGTAGAAGGCACAAATGGAGGATCTCCCTTACGTAACACGTGAAAGCAGTCAACCTGTAAAGAAACAGAACAACAAGCATAATAAAAAGTGGTGAGAGCTAGTCAAGGAACACTCCAATCAGTAGTACTTTAAATAATGTACTTCCTCTACTAGCAGTTCTAAAAAAACAAATCTGTCACGTGCTTTGTAGAAACGTATTGAAGCGTTCTCAAATCCTTTAAATCTATAGTGAAATATTGTTGAAAATTAAAATGTTTTGGCTATTTGAAGTAACTTGACGATTAGAAACATTCTGACACATAAGAAAGCACCTTAGAAACAACAAACACTTAAAAACCCAAGGTAAACAAATTTGCAAAAATGCACATCTTATCCAAACTTAAAACGTAGATCTTAACCGAAGCAATAACTTTTGATATGGCATACTGGGACACAAGATATACGGAAGGTAGGAACAGGCATACTCCTCGTTATTTCAAAACATTATGGATTAGGTGATTTACCAGCGCTTCAACATAAAACTCAGGGACAAAAATAAACATCGAATCCATTTTGCTAAGAACAAGAAGCAGCTGAACAGCCCACATGCACATTGCATACATTCCTCTTTGCTTCCACTGGGAAAGCAAAGAAATGCGGTACCTATAATGAAAAACAGACAACAGTAAAGTGCTAAGAACACAAGTACAAGAAATCAACATATGTTATAAAAGACAAACTGGGTAAAATGAAGCTTAATAATCATAGGCTCATATAAAAATAACTACAATCAAGCTACCTTTTCTCCCTTTTCATTATACACGCATCTGTTTGTATCATACACTTACTGAACTTACAGAAAACGAGATATACATTAGGACAAAATTGAGACAATCCTTCCAAGATGGGGGCAAACAAAAATTATAAACCGATAAAAATTGATCTAGAGTATGAGGTAAAAATAATATAATCTTCATTCTTCACATTATCAGACCAACGAAAAGAAATATAATTCTGTTTCAACCACATCCCAATTCTATAATTTGTCCTCAATAACCTACCGAAAAGTGAAAACTGCAAAATCCCTATACTCCCATCTCTTCCAATAATATTTCCACAAAATAAATGAAATTCTCTTGGAAAGACCCAGCAAAAATTGAACTGATAAATGCATTGTACCATAATATAAGATCAAAATCACAAGAAAGAAAAAATGACTAACTGATTCATGGGCTATTTGAGCCTGGGAAGGAACGTGCATGACATGTGCATGAAAGTTTGACTATGAACACAACCTAACTTCCCTATATATGCTGACGTTATTTTAAAGGAAAGGTATTTAGTGTAATTCTTGAGATTAAATTTTAAATTGAAAATCACATTTACCTACTTGAGATCTAGTTTCAGTTTTGTCAATGTAAAAGAATGCCCTTATGACATTTCATTTAAGAAGGGGGAGAATAAGAAAATCTCTTTTATTGGCAACCTTAATCTACATATATAAACAATACCACAAGTTGCAGAAGAACCTGATCAGAATCAATAGATAAGGAAGAGGGAAGTTCCTCGAAGTAAGCATTTCTGCTACCTAGATGCTTGCTCTTGTTTTAACTAGAGATTGGACAGAGCTCAGAAGGAAGAAAAAAAAAAATTAAAGCGCATAGTAATCAAGTTTCTAATGTTCCCAATGTCACTTGGAGATTCATCAAGATGATCTTACCATGCACAATGTCTTACACAATCGATCACTTCATCTCTGTAAGAGCTGCGAGCTTCTTTTAGGCGCTTTATTTGCTCCCTACAAGTTCGTTCTCTTATCTGTTTATCAGTTTCTTCAAGAAGAGCTATTAAGTGAGATTGATGTGACATGTAATGCGATGCCTAGAAACAAAACAATGACTTCAGTTAATTTTAGAACATTTTAAAATATATAACCTAAAGACTGGTTTACACATGAAAATTAAACAGTTCTTATAATGTTCATATGTGAGAGTGTGCACACACGTGCATGGTGTTATCAGTTAAAAGAAACATAAAACTGGTTGTCAATGTTAGGAATAAAAAATGGTATGATTGAAAATGCAATAGGACGAGAACCATAGCAACCATTGTTTTTCTTCTGAACCTACGTTTAAAGGAAAACAGCTAGTGATAATCTAAGGTAAGCAGAAGCACTTATTACTTTCTCTAAAGTTGAGATTTGATCTCCCACCCCACATATGTTGAACTCGAGAATTTAAAAAATAGTACTAATAGTCCTTTTTAGGCTTTTGGTTGTTTGAGAGGAATTGTCTTGTTCCTCTTTAGGTTTTTCTGGTTTGTTAGTTGATTTTGGAGGGTGCTGTTTTGGCTCATTTTTACTCAGCTGGTCTTTGGGTTTTTTTTTTTTTTTTTTTTTTTTTTTTTTTTTTTTTTTT